ATCAGACTTCTCAATCAAAAGTTATAGACTAGAAACCAATTTCGAAAGAAAATTCAAAGGGCTGTAACTTTTGAACTAGTAGCCCAATCTTGGAACTGTTTGAAATTATGGATTCTACAGGCCACATTCTATAAGAAAATCTTTTTTCCCGGTCGATCTGAGACAATTTTTTTTCGTGGCTCAAAAAAAGGCAGTGTATAAACCTTCCTTTTTTACCAAAAATCAACTGCACCAAAATTTCTCGGGAAAACACTTTTTCTTATTAATTTTGGTGCGTAGAATCTAAAACAATTCGTACTTTTTCGATAGACTTCTCAATCAAAAGTTATGGACTAGAAACGAATTTCGAAAGAAAATTCAAAGGGCTGTAACTTTTGAACTAGTAGCCAATCTTGGAACTGTTTGAAATTATGGATTCTACAGGCCACATTCTATAAGAAAATTTTTTTCCCGGTCGATCTGAGACAATTTTTTTTTCGGGGCTCAAAAAAAGGCAGTGTATAACCTTCCTTTTTTACCAAAAATCGACTGCACCAAAATTTCTCGGGAAAACACTTTTTCTTATTAATTTTGGTGCGTAGAATCCAAAACAATTCGTACTTTTTCGATCAGACTTCTCAATCAAAAGTTATAGACTAGAAACCAATTTCGAAAGAAAATTCAAAGGGCTGTAACTTTTGAACTAGTAGCCCAATCTTGGAACTGTTTGAAATTATGGATTCTACAGGCCACATTCTATAAGAAAATCTTTTTTCCCGGTCGATCTGAGACAATTTTTTTTCGTGGCTCAAAAAAAGGCAGTGCATAAACCTTCCTTTTTTACCAAAAATCAACTGCACCAAAATTTCTCGGGAAAACACTTTTTCTTATTAATTTTGGGGCGTAGAATCCAAAACGATTCGTACTTTTTCGATTAGACTTCTCAATCAAAAGTTATGGACTAGAAATCAATTTCGAAAAAAATTCAAAGGGCTGTAACTTTTGAACTAGTATCCCAATCTTGGAACTGTTTGAAATTATGGATTCTACAGGCCACAGGCACGATCAATTGAGAGAAAACAACTCGTAAAATAATAAATTGCATAAGAAACATCAAAATGGTGTGGCCTTCGTAAACATAAATTAATTTAACAGAAAAGGTACATGTTGTAATGCCAATAGCAGGTACTCATGTGAACGTCGATTATTGCTTAAGCAAAACATATCTTAAATAGAGGAAATGTTAATTAGAAGACCCCTTAATTTCTCGCACCGCCCGGCAGCGGGCCACGAGTAAGAAAGTAACAGATATAGTGAAGAATCAAACTGTATTAGGTACTTTCTTCACGGAATATTCAATCGAGCAGAGCAATATCACACTGATAATAAATTTTCCTCGTGAATACAAAATTAAATACTTAAACAACAAAATCATCTGTACAGTATTATAGCAAACAAACATGATTCACATAAACGGTATTCAAAACAAAAGCATCGAGTACGCCATGTGCAATAACAATAATATACTGTGATGTATAAATAATAACAAATTGTGACATGAAAGTCCATGATTAATAATTAGTACAAGAAAGAATAAAATTGGTTACTGTCTGTAAATACACCTTCAAAACACAACAAACAAAATAATCAATTAGAAAAACCGGCCTCCATTAACGCTATCTCTTCTTCTTCGTTAACCTACGTTTTTCTCTCCTAGCTTCGTTATGAAAAACCCCTAGTCTTCGGCATCTGCGCCAAACGGTCAAAATGGAAAACATAGCACATTTGATTATACCTATATCAATATGTATAGAGCGTTAGTTGCTGCTGTTGTCGCTGCTGCCTGGATCACATTGACAGTTTTGCCAATGCCTCTAGAAACTCGGTGGATTGTCACCACTTTTTTAAATTCTAAAATTTTGGGTTTATAGTTATTACTGATACCGATATGATATGATCATCATAATAATGAATGCATGTACATACGTTAAAAACACGAGGCGTAAGCCGAGTGGTTTTAGTTTCACAAGTTCATATTTTAAAGCCAATACATAGAAAGGTCTGCCGCGTGTATTATTTTTAAACAAATCCAATACATTACATAGCGCGCTGAAAGATTTTATTAGTGGCGTTGATTGAAGAAGTATCAAAAAAATTATTATTATAGTATTATTAATTATTATTAATAGCAGAACGCAATTGTTAGTCGAGCAGTATAGGAATTTCTATTTAAAGACTGAATCTGGCGATTAGGATGTATGTATAACCCAGTTGTGGGAAAACTATCTACATTGTATGAAAGTATATTAATAATAATATTCTGTAGTAGCATACGCATACCATACCATTAATCACAAATATGATATTTGTACGATCATAATTGTTCAATATAGGTTCTTCGCTTTTACAGTAATTTGCTACTTGCCTCTGAAAGTCATGCAAAATTGCAATATCGTTTAAGAGATGGGGGACTTTCTATCCGACGAAGTAATAAATCTTTGGCCTTACTTTTGAGCAAACGATACATAATAAACCTGCTAGACAACGTCAGTTTTTAAGTCATTCCTTACGCACCTCTATAATTTCTGAAATTTTTCAAAAAATTCACATACCTACTGAAGATGCTAGGAATGGCTTACGGCTACAAATCGTACAAAGTAATCTCACTGCATACAATGACATTATAAATGGAATCAAAGTAGTAAATTAACTCTGTAAAGAGTAAGTCGAATTGTAAAATTATTTATCATTAGCACGGACAAAGCAATTTTTGTTGAATTCTAATAAAGTAGTAGAACAAGCCCGAAACCAATTTATTATTAATGTAATGAGGATGCCAACAGATTTGACTTAAATTTTCGGCGTCTGCCCCTGTCATATGCCCACACATAAAATTATAATCTATGGTGTAAATTTCATTTGGTCATTTCATTTTTTTGGTAAATTTGTAACTCAAATATTCGTTTGGGATATAGAATTATGTGCTTTATCTCACACGTCGATACTGGCTCATAACAGAGTGGCTGACTTTGTTGACACTTAACGCCCTGTATAAACAATCAAGTTGTGTTACAAACTCCTTGGCAAATTACCTCAGTTTTCTATTTATTCACCGTTGGCGCTAGAGGTATTTTGTTTAAAGTTGCGGTAGGTGGGATGACGGTAGAAACTTAATTATTAAAAAGTTTCTGCGTTGTTATGACAGCTAACTTTAACTTCACAGATAATACTCAAGGGTGTGTACGAATTTCAGTCGACTGAAAATCAATCTAATCGCTAAAAAAACAATTTCGTACCTACCGAACCTAAACTAATACCAATACAAATTTAGAAAATAAATGGAGGAAATTTACGGATCATAATATAATTTCACGTACGATTGAACACAAATGTTGTCATCCCCCTTGTTCCTTATTTATACGTCAATTCATTATTTACACCCTGACTGATTTTATCGCAAATGGGATTCTGTTTTTGTATTAAATCCAAGGTAAAAATACTTTATTAATTGTATGTAGGATGTGAGTGGTTCCGTGGTTATGGAAAAGAGCACCCTTACAAGTACTAGGTTTAAATTAAGGTTGAACTGAAACCATAAGTAAAGATGTCGTCGGGTGAGTTTTCCACATAATTTATGTCATAGGGGGTAGTATACGGACTATTCTATTAGACACATTTAATTATCCTAATGGTGTTGGTCGACAAATTATACAAAATACCATCGCGGCTGATTGTCACTGCATAGTACTCGTCGGGCTTCTTTGACCTAGTGCTATTAATTCAGCGTTCAGTATTGATTTTTCCGTCTGCTTTACATTTTAATAACGCATTTGTGCTTACTTTCATTTATTATATGAAAGGCAGAAAAGCACAGTTTTTTAATAAATTCTAACACAGATTTCAGTATACAGTACTTTAATCACTGAACAAGTTTTAGAAAATACTAAAAACTTGTTGGGTCAGAAGCAACCCTGAAAATCCGTCTTGCGCAGGAGAAGATTTGGCAAATAACGTTTTGTGCTACCCAAAATCCGCTGGAATCATCAGGCAGAACGTAAAAAGCGATATGTATGTCATCTTCTGTTGCTAAGTCCTCCTGATAGGGTCCAGTGGAAGCATTTACAGGAAATGTCAATGGATTTCTTAAGCGATTTGGTTACTGGGGTTACTGCTTAGAAGTATAGGAAAGTAGAAGTCGTAAGGAAAAAAAATTTAATTACCTGATTTTTATTTGCAATGAACTAAAAATAAATTTATAACAGTCTTGAAATGGATTAATTTATAATAGCTAATTATTATTTATCACTCTGTGATGGAACTAAGTCGAAATACAATTTGATTTACTTATATAGCAAGCTAAATCTTTTTATAATGTTCTCCGAGTGATCCCGAACGCTTCTCAATGTTCTGGAACAAGCACGTCATATTTCCCGAAAAGAATGCGCCACATCCGCCTTAGTTTCTTATCGCCGATTACTAATCTTTCGGGTCCATCGAGATTTCTAGAATATTCGCTACAGTATTACCGGTAGTGGCCAATAGAAAATGTGTGAGATGTTTTTAGTTTTGTACTATGCTGTAACAGTCTCATCACTTCAATTAGTTTCCCTAAACTTAAAATTTTAAGGGATTGATGGAATTTCTCTGCGCACTTGGATATTATAACGCGAAACTGAACACTTGGAAAATTCAATAGTTCCGATAAACCTTTGCATAATAAAACACGGAATAATTGACAGTTATACAGACATTTGAAAAGGGGTTGTTTTGTGATAGGACAACAGTTAAATAACGCTTCCAACTCAGCGTGAAACTTTGACGTTCAAATCCCAATCACAAACATGCGCCGTTTCCCCCATTCAAGTGTATTGAACTTGTGCATTTTGCAACTAATTTATGCAATCCTAAAATAAATGAATAAAAAGAGACCTTTGCATAAGTTAAATTTTTATTACCGTTGGAAAATATGTAGATGAGGGTTTAATAATCTACCTATAATGAATATGTATTGTTATTCTAGATGACTGAATTCTTTAAATAATACTATGTTTTGTTTTCAGGGGATTCGGTAAACAAGGGTTCCAGTGCCAAGGTACGTAAATATGCAGTTTTTCTTACTTTACCTTAAAGTAACGGTTCGCATTTGATACCCGCTACAGACGATATTGCGTAAATATTAAATTTGAATGGCATTTAATTTTCATAAAATTGTCATTCAGTTTCGGTACTTTCATTCGTAAACTTACAGTGTCGAATTTTAATGGAAAACGTTGCTTAATTAAACAAGAATTGTAATATCAAGAGAACGACAGCAAAAAAACAGCCAGAGAATCTTCATTCATACGGATTTTCTCAGAATTCTTTGTTCAAATCACTCGTTTTACAACTCGGAAATTAACGTGTTGCTAGAATTTATGAAAATAGCAGTTTCCACTAGTAATATTATTATTGAAACCAACGCTTCGGAACAAAGTATCGTCCCACGCACCCCTGTGGGTGATAGCATCAAATGAGCTTTCAAAAGGAAAATTAAATCGCGAGGTTGCAACGCAATGCTGGGGGTGATATTTATTTATGAAAATCTAAATTGAATTTTTTGGATTCCTTATACGAGATGTGACACTAAACGCCAGTTTTTGTCTTAGTTTCGACAGTTAATTTCCATGGAAACAAAATGTATACACATCGATAAGTTTAACCGAGACCGTTCCTTAATCAACCTATATTATACTAAAGTCAAAATGGCCGTTGTGCAGAGTTTATTATTAGGAGCTTCAGTGGATTTTCCTGGCAGAAAACCCAAAGTGTTACATATTCTAAACCCTATTAGTCCAGGTTATTAAATATTTTTTTACAAAAAAAATTAGTTACCGATTCAAACCGGGTTTTTCATGCTGGTGAATTGATTAGAAATTGAGGAAAAATAATTAAAACAGCTGAATTTTTCCGCGAGTGAAATCACGAGGGTTGAAAGGGGTGGAAACTGGTATTTTGCAATTTGTGGCAAAAATATTAATTTTAGGCGAAAATGTTCAATATAACAGTTATATAGAACATTTTCGCCTAAAATTAATATTGACTAGCTATAAAACAGGCAGGAAGAAGAGTCAGTGAACCTTGAACAAGAGGTGGTTTTTTCAGAAATCGTCAGATCTCGGAAGCGGTTCAACTTTACGGGCCCAAAAAAATTGTCTCCTTTTTTATCACAAAACACTCCAAATTTCAAACCACTACGACTTTTTTTCGTAAAAATAAGAATAAAAATAAAAAAAAGGTTTTTCCGGTTTTTCTAGGAAAATTGGAGGTTATGTGTAAATAGCGCAGATACAAGAGTTGTTCATTTTTTTAAATTCTATATAACTGTTATATTGAACATTTTCGTCTAAAACTAATAGTTTTGCCACAATTTGCAAAACACCACTTTTCACCCCTTTCAAGCCTCGGGATTTCACCACGCAAAAATTCAGCTGTTTTAATTATTTTTTCCCAATTTCTAATCATTTCACCTGCCCGAAAAACCCAGTTTCGCCCGGTAACTAATTTTTCTTGAAAATAAATTATTTCAGAGCTATTTAGCCTGGACTATACCTATTAATTTAGTATATTTCAAGATGTTGTCCCGTCGTTTAAATTAATGATCGACAACATTGAATACTTGTGTTTCTGTTGCAAATAACAACAACACTTCTCGTATTTTATTTAAAAAAAAGTACATATGTCACATTATTAACATGACAGCATAATACTTGCGCCTTCTCTCTAATTAAAATTAGAATATCAAAAAACCATAGAATCATTAACAATATTAACATTCACTGACATGCCTCCCACCTTGAAAGCGGACAGTTTAAAAAAATTACAAAATAAAAAAAGGACTTAGTTAAGCACATCATTTAAATCAGTAGGTAAAATTGCGCCCCCTTCCCTTTGTTGCAGAATTCTCACGATTTTTTTACAATGTTAAAATTCGTATCCTAAACTAATGAAAATTAAATACGTAGTCTTTAATTGAAGTAATTGACATTATTTATTTAAGGTGCCAGGGGGTCGCCAGAATTTTTCAACTTGCAAAGGGGTCGCGTGTTCAAAAAGGTAGAAAAACGCTGGTCTAATTCAACCTCGTCTGTCGATAATTAGATCAACGTTGTATTTCTTCAAATTAACTTTTGACTATATGCAATGCTTCTGATCTATCTTTTATTTGAATTACATCGGCTTGCTGAATGTTGTTTAATTCCCGCACAGCTTCCAGATAATTTAATAATTTAAATAAAGCCTCGTTTTTTAATTAGGTCGTTCCTTTTTTGCAAAATTAGAAATAAAGAAAGACAAAAACGGAAACTCACAACACTCACGTTTACTATAATCAGCAAATAGCAATTTTTCGTAGCGGATAGCAATGGAACACTTCAACACTTCTTGTATTTTGATAAAAAAGTACATATGTCAAATTATTAACATGACAGCATAATACTTGCGCCTTTTCTCTAATTAAAATTAGATATCAAAAAACCATAGAAACATTAACAATATAATATTGGTCCATAGGCTGTTAATTTCAATATTGCATGAAATATACAGCTTCCTCAGAACATTTTTCAACTTCAATATCCATACTGTCAATTTATTATGAGGATGTCACATCTATAATTGTATGTAAATAGAAAAACCTATAATTTATCCCCTTCGTGCCGCTAAAGCGGAACGGATTCTTCGACATAGAATTTAAACATTGGAAAAATATGTCGCGCATCTCGCCCTTCTGAGTTTCAAATTGACTGAGCGCGTTGATGATCGGTACCTAACTCGATTCCTGATCGAATTATATCTCATCGTATCGCGGGACTTTCATGACTAATGATGTTTTGTCACCGAACCCTATTACTTTCAGTAAATCCAATTGACGGCTTCAATTTAAAGAGAGGACCGCGGATAGATTAACTATTAACTGTGATCGCTCAATTCAAAACGCAATCTAACCGGTTACTTACAGCTCATCGTGCCTCTCCTCCGACGTCTCCATCGGCGACGTTGACCCACAAATTAGTTTTAAAAAGTAAAAGTCCAATTTGGAGGTGGCAACCGTATGATATAATAAACGTTGCTTGTTGAATTTGACCTTAATTCGTAGAATGTGGTATGATGAGAAATTTGCTTATTCTAAAATGTCAATAGTTGAGGTTACGTAAAGCAATGGGTTAAATCACTTTTATCTTCCTTATCCCAGTTCCTGCGAACACGTATGACTATTATCGTTAAACAATTTTTATTTAAACTATTATCATTTCTCTTTTATTTACTTGAACATAATTTATTTAAATTTAGTGCATATAGTGTCGGTTGGGGCACTAGTCCGTATATTGTGTCAGTATTTATTCCGGACTGTTCATTTTTTTACGAAAACCTTTGTTTAATTACAAGCGATAAAAACCCACGAGACATTCATCAAAGTATCGAACTTCCGTTTCCTGTTTCAAGCGACACAATGGAGCATATCTGAAATAATATGCAACGACTTTGACATTGTCCTCGGCTTAAACCTTTACCGTAAAGTTATCATTTCCTCGTTTCTCGTTAAAATCCTCTCCGGATAAACTCCCTCACCTGCAGGTTCACCCATGTATTGTGATCTCCGGAGACAGTCTCGCGCCAGCAGAAGATGTGTTTCGCTGTCGAAGCAGAGGCGACATGTGTTATCCTCATTCCTCAGCTACCCCGATTTTGTTGATATGATATCCCAGGAGGCAGTGTCCAGTGACCAGGTCCATGTATGACTTTAGTTCACTTAGCAACGAGCTGGTTTTAGTTTCCTGGAAACTGATTCGTTGCTTGAATGATCTTAGTCCAGGGGCAGATTCCCATAGACGTTTCCCCTCTTTTCTGAGCTGGCTTTTTGACTCGTCCACCTAGACTTTCACGGTTACGCCTGACTATTTCTTCCAGTTTTATATGGCATTCCATGAGCAGCTTGTAGGTCAAGGAGAAGACTGCTAGAGCATCGAGAAGTACATATTTGTCCGAGCAGATGTAAATGCGCGCACCCAGTAGGCCTGTCGCCCCAATTGCCTCTGCGCACCTGGTTATAGTTATAACCTCGGTTTGAAATACTGTAGGAGTCGGTCCTAAGGTCATTGAGAGCGCCTGTCGTGCTTATTCCCACCTCTTCCTTCGACTTGGAGCCATCAGTGTACCAACATAAGGATCTTTGCTCGAATTCTGGACTGTTCTTACCTTCGACAGCTTATTAAGGCGGTGCTAGCTCTGGTAACCGCCTTGGTAATGTGAGGCGTCCAAGTTAGCTTCTTGTCCATCCTGACTCCTAAGTATTTGCATTATGCAGTGTACTGTAGCTCCTGCATGACCAATCGTAGCTTCCGAAAACTGTTTGTATTTGCACTTGATTAAACAGAAAACTAACCATTTACACATAAAAGAAAATATTCAACAACAATCAGTCAAATCAACTGAAAGAAAGGATGGCACTTAGGGCCAAATAAAACACCACGTAACAAGGGATCCATTAAACAAATTAAATTTAAAGAAAGTTTGTACTGATCTTTATCATCCGGTCATAATTGCGTTTTTCAACAAACAGACTCACTAACACATAAAACAAGCATTAAGCTGATGATGCTTCTAAACTTCACTTTTTGACTACACTTGGATCTCGATTTAGATGACAATGACTTCGTTGTACTCGTAGTTACAATTATATTATTGGCCCTTTGATGGTGGAAAAACTTTCTTTAATGGGTACTGGGAAACTACAACTTCGTAAACTTCACTTCTTTAATTCGACTTACAACATTCACTTTTATCACGACATCTTAAATCTCTTAATATTCGTAGCACTCTTATCTTTTTTTTATAATAAGAATTTTACGATTATAAAAACTGACTATCTCTCCAACTAGCAAGACGCATTGTCTACGCTTAAATAACAGCAAAAATTCCGGTCACGAAAACAATAAGCGGCTACGTTTCAACGCCCACCAAAACAAACAAAAGTAACAATTGACGTCCTCCACCAAAAGAGTCACGATTAACCACCGTCTTCTCTATTTAAAACAATCCCTCTTTCTTTTCAACTTC